TCCAGCTCCCTTTGTCCCTCTCTTCCTGATCAGGTTGGCCCACAAAGCACTGTGCTCTGAGAAGCTGGAACAGTGGCGCTGTGAGACGTTGTAGACGCCTGCTGACTTGGTAGCTGAGGCTCTTTCCTCGCTCCTGGACCCCCTTCTCCCTAATGCTACCTCATTTGCCTCTTTCAACCTCCCCTGAAGCTGATTTGTCTCTGAGCCCTGGACCCTAGCGTGACACCCCTGGTCTCCTGAGGACTGTTCTCCCAAGATTCAAGGCTGGTGTACTGAACTTCAGACCCTTGCTCAGTGCAGTGCCCCTGATGGCATGTTCAAAACTGCAAGAGATTCCATCTGTGTCTTGAATAAAGGGCCTGATTTGGGGTGGCTGGCTACGTTTTCTTCTAACAGGGAAAAGGAAGAGGTAGGGTGTGTATGTGTAGAGGGAAGCACAAAGGTCATAGATCAGAGCCATCTTCCATCTCTACTGGACAAACAGGCTGAACTTATTATAGGAAGATGCAGTTGATGCCTTTTATCTCAGTGCAAACAACTTTTATTGCTCATCTCTTGCATTTAAGAAACCGCAGAAAGATTCAAGGGTTTTTTTTTTTTTTTTTAAAAAGTCTCCTCCCCAAAGGACTAATAGGAGAGATGATAAAAACATTAACAAGCTGGGTGCTGGTGGATCATGCCTGTAATCGTAGCTACTCAGGAGACAGATCTGAGGATTGCCGGGTTGAAGTTAGCCTGGCAGTAGAGTTCTTGAGACTCTTGTCTCTGGGAAGGTGAGGCAGGCTCCTCTCTCCTCTTGGCTAAGTGTCTACCTAGTACCTGTGCCACCTAAGTAACTGGCACACCTGGAGGTCACATCCTGGGCTAACCCGGTCACATTCCTGACCCTGAGGTCACATCTGCATCCAGTGTGGCCACAACTGTCCTCACCTGGATGTACCTTCTCCCCTCTCCTTCCTTCCTTAAACCCAGGTCAGATCTCAGCCCGCCCCTTCTTTCAGCTATGTGCTTTCCACCTTGTATGGGGTGTGTGGGGCAAACAGTTTGGTAAAATAAACTTCTCTTCCTGCCTGAAAGCATGTGGTGTTGTCTTTACCAGCTACTAATTAAACCTACCTAGTTAAATACCTAACTATCTCCAATTTACTATTAAAAAAAAAAGACAGAAAGATGAAAGTGGACTTGTGGCTCAAAGTGGTAGAGTGCTAGCCTTGGGCAAAAAAGCTCAGGGATGGAGTTGGAGGTGTGTGTCAGGTGATAGAGTACCAGCCAATGAGTGAAAGTTGGATACCCAGTTGGAGTTCCAGTTTCAACCTCCCTTCCCATTCCCTCCCCACAAAAAAAAGCCCAGGGACAGCACCTGGACCCTGAGATCAAGCCCCAGGAAAGGCGCGCGCGCGCGCGCGCGCGCGCACACACACACACACACACACACACACACACACACACACACAGAGCTAGGGCTGTCAGCACTCAGGCTCAAAATACTGGCTGTTAGTTAAATTTTCTCTGAAATACTGGAGGCAACTAACTTATAAAGAGATAAAAAGATGATTTAGCTCCCAGTATTGGAGCTTCAAAGTTTCACCTATTGGTTAGCCCTGATAGATGGCAGCACACATGGCAGGAGTGCATTTAGCAGCTGTTGGCTTCCATTTGGTAGACTGGGGGCATGTTGGGGGAGAGGGAGATGTAGGGGGAGGAGGGTAAGAAGGAGGAGGGAAGACAAGGTGATGTGGGGAAGAAGGAGGGAGACAAGGAAAGATAGGGAAAAGAGGGAGAGAGCAAGACAGAGAGAGACAGAGACAGACACAAGAAAGACACACAGAGAGACCCAGAGAGAGAAAGCCAGAGAGAAATATCTCTGGGACTCTACAAACTCCCTTGAGGACACAGCTTCAAAGACCTAATGAGGTTTCTCTAGTTCCCACTTTTAGATGTCCATTGCATATTAACTTGCTACAGTTACAGCCTCAGAGATGTCCATGTGTGGGTGGTTCACATCTATAATTCTAGCTACTCAGGAGGCTGAGATCTGAGGTTTATGGTTCAATGAGGGCAGACAAATCATGAGACTGTTATCTCCAATTAACCAGTAAAAAACTGGAAGTGGAGCTATGGTTCAAATGGTAGAACACTAGTCTTGAGTGAAAAAACTAAGGGAAATCACAAGGCTCTGAGGTCAAGCTCCAATACTTGTACCAAGAAAAAAAGAAAATAGAAAAAAAAGACAGTTGGGGTTGTGCTCTAATACTCAATATAACAAGAAAACAAAACAAAAATTTCTGTTTTGGGGACAATTGACACTCTCAGGCATACATACTCAACATTTGTGGTTCTTGAGAAAACGCTTATTCCTACTTGTTTTATTCCATTGGCTTATATATTTATTTCTTTCAGTGTTTAATATGGTAACCCTTGAATTATAAATTGTCTTGAGAAAATAGATAGATTGGCTTCTTTATCTAGGCATGTGTGACTAGATTCATCTTTATAATATGCAGAGTAATTGTTAGTGGTTTCTCTTTTTCTCTTCCTCCTCCTCTTTCTCCATCTAAGTAAAAGTTATATAACTAATATATACAAGGTGATGTTTTGATATATGTGTATACTATGAAATGATCACCACAACCACACTAATTTACCTGCCCACTGACATATCAATCACCTGCCATGAAGAAACAGCTCAATGAAATGGTGGTGATGCTGAAGGTTGAACCCAGGGACTCAGACATGCCAAGCAAGTGCTCTACCACTGAGCTATACCCTATCCCCTAATGGAAGCAGTCTTAACTAATATAGACCTACTGGTCTTTAGGTGAAACAGAACAGAAAGTTACTGCTCTCATCTTGAGAAATGTCTTGGGAGCTGAATATCTTTGCTTTGTTTTCTCCAACTCCTTCTCCTTCCTCTAGGCCTGGAATGAGATCCTGAACCAGGTAAGAATCTGAAATGGTTTTCCTCCATGTTCAGATGTGAGGTAGGGAGGTTCAGGAGAATGACTGTCAGAGTACAGAGCATTTACTAAGCTCTGGGTGAAGAAGACTCAGATTGAGTCAATGATAGGGAGCTTCTGGCTTGTCCTGATTTCTCCCACCTGCTTTTGTCTTCTTGTTATACGGGAATTTGATTGCAAGATACAGAGAAGCCACATTTTGAGAGGTCAATTGGGAATCTATTAGAAAGCTGGTGACTGCAGGTGGACTCCTGTCCTAAAGACCAGCAGCCCAGAAAATAGCTTGTACAAAGCTTTTAAAGGCAAAAACCACATGTTTGGGGTGAAGACCCAAGCCCACAAAAGCAGACCATATAGGGGGATACTGATGGGTGAGCAAAGCAAGCCACATAGGGGAAGATTAAGGGTTGAGTACATCAAATCTGGGGAAATACTCAAGGGCAAGTAAATCAAACCATCTGGGGGAATAATCAAGAGCAAGCATTTTCTGTAGCAAAGCTTTCCTGGGGCCAAAACAGCATGATAGATCTACATATTCAAAGAATGGCCTATCTCACTGGTAGGCTTTTCAGAGCTGGGTGAAAAGCCCCCACCATCCAGCAAGGCACCAGGATGGTTGTGAGGATAAGACATGTTACTTAGACCCAATATCCATATTTCATTCTGACACTGATCTTGTTGTGAAGGCAGGATTTTTATTGCAAACTACTAAATGTTCATTAATATACATTGTCTTACTCTGATATCTTATTCCCTCAGTTTCCCATTTATCTAACACAGCCAATTGGAAGCGGGATATGGAGGCATGGGGGACAGGGATACTATTAGGCAGAAGATCTGCTTCTGCTCTTTCTCAGGAAACTTTTATTTTATTATTTACTTATTCATCTTTTGGTGCCAGTCCTGGAGCTTGAACTCAGGGCCTAGGTGCTGTCCTTGAACATTTTTACCTAAGACTAGCACTTGAGGTTTAGCTTTTTGGTGGTTAAGTGAAGATAAGAGTCTCACAGAGTTTCCTGCCTGAGTTGGCTTCATACTGTGATCCTTAGATCTCGGTCTCCTGAGTAGCTAGAGTTACAGACATAATCTACCAGCACCCAGCTAGGAAACATATTTTATTTTATTTTTGTCAATCATGGGGCTTGAATATGAGGCCTGGGTGCTGTCCCTGAGCTCTTTGCTCAAGGTTAGTGTTCTACCTCTTGAGCCACAGGGCCACTTCTGCTTTTCTGGTACTTAATTGGAAACAAGAGTCTCACAGGCTTTTCTGCCCAGGCTGGCTTTAAACCACAAGCCTCAGAGTTCAGCCTCAGGAGTAGCTAGGATTTCAGGTGTGAACCACCAGCACCCAGCTGGAAACATACTTTACAAGGGGGAATCATTTAGGTGCCAGGGGCTCACACTGTAATCCTAGTTACTCAGGAGACTGTGGTCTGAAGATCATGGTTTAAAGCCAGACTAGGCAGGAAAGTCTGTGAGAGACTTAACACCAATTAACCAACAGAAAACGAGCAGTAGCCTGGTGGCTCAAGTGGTAGAGTGCTAGCCTTGAGCAGAAAAGCTCAGAGACAGCACCCAAGCCTTGAGTTAAAGACCCATGACCCTCCCCACTTATAAATAGGGGATACTGAATTCTCCCATTTCCTAGAATTGTCTCTTCAGATGAGCCCACCACTTATTATTCATTCCGTAAGATGCCCATATTTTTATTGAGTATTTGTTAGGATTTACTTTAGGTGCTTTTTCTTGGGTGGGGAGTGAGGTGGGGAAACCTGTCCTGAGGGCCTGGGTGCTGTCCCTGAGCTTTTTCTTTTTTCTCTCACAAGATTCCAACTTGGTACGTGATGCTTTGCTCCTTGCTGGTGCTCTACCACCTGAACCACAGGTATAAGCCTTGTTATGGAGGTTTCCTTATCTCCCTTGAATTAACTTCAAGTTCCCCTTAAGAAATGAAGTCTCTGTTTTGGGATGCTGTGATGGCTGGATGGTGACAGTCTTCTTCTCTCTGTAACTTTTCTTCCTGGGGAGGCAGGCGTGTCTGGGTTAGAAGGTCAGCCTTGATTTCTTGACCAGCATCCTCTGCAGAGCTGTCTTCACTTCTTTGTTCTTCAGGCTATAGATGAAGGGGTTCAGCATTGGGGTCACCACACTATACTGCACCGATAGCACTTGATCCAGGACTGAGCCAGATGCTGCAATCATGTACCTTGTAGGGAATTACAAAAAGTAGCAAATGGAGCTAGGGCAATGGCCACAAAGCTGCTGACAGCAATGGTCCATCCCTGCCAATTCTGCCAAGGGTCATGATCACTGATGGCAGTATCTAGAAATGTCGATTAGTGAGAAGTCTGTCATTTCTGATTTTGCAAACATTTTAAGTCTCACATAGAAAGTTATAGAAACTGCCCTGAGGCAGAAAAGAAATTCTGCAGCACATTAGGAAAAACAAACAAACAAACTAATTGCATGGTTTTACATAGCACCTGATACTCTTCAAAGCATCTTGCCCAGGCTATGAGGACAAAATGAGTTAATCCTTTTCCCCCCTCAATGGTAGAGTATATTAGACTGTGCTAGAAAACTACACAGACATCCAAGTACAAAGAACAAAGGAAAGGTTTCTTGCTGGTACAGGGACCTTCTTTGAGAGAGGAGTGGGAAGGAGTGCCCGCTATTGTCTGAAGTGACCTATATAACCTACTGAGGCTAGGAGGGGCTAGAAGGGGCTAGGAGGCAGAGACCCCGGTATGGACATGTGGACATGTGGATCATGGCAGCCTAGGATTTATGGTAGTAGATTTATGGTAGTAGTAGATAAGGGGCCCTGCAGCTGCCCAGACCTGAAGGTCCCACTAAGGGGCTCTTGTAGCCTTACATGGTGGTAGCTGCCCCAGAGGAGTGCCATCTTAAGGTAAAGGAGGGTTGGAGGCTGATTATTTACTGTCTTTACTACACGGGCCTAGTGTTGCCTAGGAAAGGAGCATGCTGAACTGTGGAAAGGGGAGGGAGCATGCTACAATATGGGAAGGGAGCTCATTGGACTAATACTCAATTTATACAAAAGTACAGACACACTGCTCTCATTTTGTGATGAATGTTTCTTGAAACACTTTGTGCTTAGTTTTCAAATGCTGCTACTGTGTCCAACATTCATGACTCTAGAAATTACTATTGAGATTTGTAGCATAAGCTGGGTGCTAATGACTCACACCTGCAATCCTCATTACTCAGGAAGCTGAGATGTGAGGAACAAGGCTCACAGCCAGCCAGGGTAAAAGAAGATCCATGAGACTCCAAAGAACCAGCAAAGAGCTGGATATGGAACTACGGCACATGTGGTAGAGTGCTAGGCTTGACTGGAAAAGCTCTGGGACAGTGCCCAGGCCCTGAGTTCAAGCCCCAGTACCAGCACACACAAAGCAAGAAGTGTAGAATGGCATACCTGGATATGCCTGAGCCGTAAAAGATGGTGATCACAAGGAAGTGAGAAGAGCAGGTATAGAAGATCTTTCTCCGACCTGTGGCAGAGTTGACTCTCAGGGCTGTGACAATGATACAGCTGTAGGAACCCAGCAAGAAGGCGAAAGTGCCAAGTCCCAGGAACACCATGGTGATCAGGAGGGAGATGATGCTAGTGTAGGCATCAGAGCAGACCATCATGAGGACTGGAGGAATCTCACAGGCAAAATGATGGATGAGGTTGTGGCCACAGAAGTGCTGCTGAGCTAGAAAGAGAGCATTAACTACTGCAGCACTGATTCCCATGGCCCAGGATGCACTGATCAGGCCAGTACATACCTTCCTGTTCATAGCTGCCACATACACGAGAGGGTGGCATACAGCCTGATATCGGTCATAGGCCATGACAGAAAGGAGGCAAGCTTCAGTGGACCCAGCAAATATGACCAGAGACATCTGGGTGAAACATCCGACAAAGGATATTGTCTTCCATTGAGAAAGAAGGTTCTCTAGCAGTTTAGGCACAATGACAGAGGAATAGATAGTATCCAGGAAGGAGAGGTGTCTCAGGAAGAAATACATGGGTGTGTGGAGGTGAGAATCAACAGTGATCACCAGCATCATCAACAAGTTCCCTAAGAGGGTCAAGAGGTAAATCACCAAGAATAGCACAAAAAGTAATACCTGGATCCTAGGGTTGTTGCTGAGTCCTAGAAGAATAAACTCAGTGATGGTGGTCTCATTCCTAACTTCCATGGGTAATCAAGATTCCTTTCAGAGGAGGGGAACTAAAAACATAGTTCAGAAGGGCTACCTGTCTCAGGTGTGAGTCATAAATCTTCCTGCTGGGCACCTGTGGCTCACACACAAAGCTTTGAAGCTGATCCAAGTAGGACAGATTATATGGTAGAGGTGGCCCTGCTGCATCAGAATTTATCAGCACTTGCTAACTCTGGGCTGTAGCCTTCTGGGTAAAGTGGAGAAGATGGGGAAGATGGGTGATGGAGATCAGACCTAGAAAGGAAAGAGATGAGAACAAAAATTATTCTGAGTACAGAAGGAAAGGAAGGGTATTCAGGGCAGATTCCAGGACACTATTCCTAGTGTATTCTTTTTTTTTTTTTTAGGGTCCAGTAGTGGAGCCTGAACTCTGGGCCTGGACGCTGTCCCTCAGCTCTTCAGCTCCAGCCTAGCACTCTACCACTTGAGCCACAGCTCCACTATCTGGCTTTTTTCTTTTTGCTTATGTGGTGCTGAGGAATTGAACCCAGGGCCTCTGGCATGCAAGGCAAGCGCTGTACCACTGAGCCACCTTCCTAGCCCTAGTGTATTCTTTTCTGATTACAAAGGATGTTGGGGTCAAGCCACAGAAGGGATGACTAACATATTGAATCAGTCACAAACATTTTAGCTTTCCATCTTTTTGACAGACCGTGATAAATGTTTGAATGATTGACAGAGCTATTTTGACATTTGATGATGGTGCAAGTCTTTCTCTTGTCTGCTACTTGAGGTTTTTTATTTAAAAAGCAATAAAAGCAAAACACAACAAAAGACCAATCTGGAAGGCTAGGTGTCAGTGGCTTTTGCCAGTAATTGTAGCTATTGATTGGAAGCATGCCAGCGCAGAAATGTTAATAAGATTCTGTCTCCAATTAGTTAATACAATACAGGGCTGGAGATGTGGCTCAGGTTGTAGAGTGCCAACTGTGAGCAAGCAAGCCAAGCAAGAGGACTAGGCCTCTGAGTTCAAGCCCTGGTAGAGATTGATGCACATGTAAGCCCAATTGGGCTAACACACTCACACACACACACACACACACACACACACACAGAGTCCAAAAAGTACAAAAGTATATGGAGTGTTTTCATAATAGGTTCTGTGATAGAAGCTCTGAAGAAGGGGAAAATTATCTTCTTTGACTATCTTGCTGCTAAACAGACACCCCTTCTCCCCTCTGTGAGAACCCAAACAGAGTGATAGAGTTTCATAGCAAGCAGGACAGTGAGAAGCCCCTAAAATGTAGGTGAGGGCTATCCATATTGGTTCTTCCAAGGTCTTCCCATTGCCTGGGTTCTGTGAATCTATGATCCCCCTTAATTTCACTATAATCTCAGGACTTGAGAATTCAAAAAGGTGAGGATCAAACTTGGACCAACCTGGATACATCACAGCCATATGAAATTCTTCTCTGCACGGTGAGAAGAGATAAAGGCACACCTGTATATTGGGCAGTATATATACCTGTGTATTGGGCTGCCTTCCTACCCCTTGAAGGGACAATTCTGTGAGTTATAACTGAGGAGCTGTTTCCTGTTGTGTTCATGAGTGCTACCCTCAGAGGATACTAGAGGTTACTAGAGCTGGTAATTTTAAGGAGAAGATGGCTTTAAATGAGAAGATTCATCTTTACCTGAACTCCATACACCAACAGCTGCCCTCAGGATCCAGATATGACATCTTTTCAAACAAGAACAAAAGCCACAGCTGACTTGAGTTTTGTGGTTTTCCTTTGACCTTTTTCTGGAACTTCCCAGTTAAGAAATATCCCCATAGTCTTTCTTTCAAAAGGCAACGGTTTTTTGTTTGTTTGTTTGACTCTCTTTTACAAATAACCATGGGCAAAGGGACTTGATCTTAGCTTCAGACCCTGGAGAATAAGAAACAACCTTGGGGAGATTCTTAAGCAGGAGGCAGCTCTAGTTCTGATGGGTTCTCCAGGGTCAACTACTCCTCCCCAGTATTATTTCTATTTTACTAGGTTACATCATACAAGAGGGCCCTGGGGTGACCCATCATCTATTTTTTTTACTTCTTGTGTTATTTAGAAAATATCTCAGGCTGGGTACTGGTGGCTCCTACCTGTAATCCTAGCTACTCAGGAGGCCGAGATCTGAGGATCCCAAGCCAGCTTGGGAAGGAAAGTCCATGAGCTGGAATTGGAGCTGTGGTAGAGGGCTAGCCTTGAGCACAAAAGCCCAGAGACAGTGCCTTGAGTTTCAACCTCAGGACTGGGACAAAAGTATCTCAGAAATCACTTTTTTTTGCAGTTATTTTTATTGCAACTATTCTTTTCTTTACAATAGCCTCAATTTAAACACTATTCACACTGAACACACCTGGCAGCTCAATAGACTTGAATGTAAAGTCTGGGAAGCTGAAATTACTCTTGCTTTGCTTAAAGGAAAGTTGACTTGCTTATTGTCATGATAGTAACAAGTCACTCAAGTCATAGTATTACAATCTCTTTGATAAACTGGATTATGGTCAGTCAAATGTCAGAGGTCATGTGAATTTCCAAATCACATATTTCTTCAGTAACATTATTGTTAAAGTATATTAGACTTTGCCAGAAAACCATGCACATATCCAGATATAAAGAACAAAGAAAAGGTTTACTGCCAGCAAAGGGACTGGCAAGACCCCCTTTCACAAGAGAGAAGTGAGAAGAAGTGCTGGCTATTGTCTGAGGTGACCTATATAACCTAGAAGGTTTAGGAGGGGTTAGAAAGGGATAGCAGGTGGAGATCCTGGTATGGAAGTGAGGGCCAGGGGCTTCATCATGGTGGATTAGGATTTATGGCCCTGTAGCTACCCAGACCCAAAGGTCACTCTAAGTGGATCTTGCTGCCTTATATGGTGGTGGCTACCCCAGAGGAGTGCCATCCCAAGGTAAAGGGGGTTGGAGGCTGATTATTTCCTGCCTTTGCCAAATGGGCCTAGTGTTGCGTAGGAAAGGAGCATGCTAAGCTATGGGAAGGGAGCTCATTGAACTAACAATTATCAAGAGAATTCAGTTTTGCTTGCATGATAATATACCCTAAAAGTATTATTTCTTATCCCTGTTCTTCAGCTCTTTATTTATTTATTTACTTATTTTTGTGCTGGTTCTTAAGCTTGAACTCAGGGCCTGGGTGTTGTCCTTGAGTTTTTGTGCTCAAGGCTAGTGCTCTACCATTTGAGTCCCAACCCCACTTCTGGCTTTTTGGTGGTTACTTGGTGATAAGAGTCTCAAGGAATTTATTGCCTGGGTTTACTTCACATCATGATCCTCAGAACTCAACCTCCTGCATAGCTTACAGTTATGAACCACTGGTGCCTGGCTTCACTAGTTTTTATCATTATTATTGCCATTATAAGATAATTGAGATAACCTATAAAGAGAAAAAGACTGATTTCATCTCATGGTGGGAATGTGTGGTCAAGCGAAAATAGTTTACCTCAGGATGTGAAAAGAGAAAAAAGGAAGAGGTTTTCCTTCCTACAATTCCCTTCAAGGGTATGACCAATGATCTAAAGACCTCCCACCAGGCTCTCTATCACTCTTTAATAGCAGTAGAGAAGAAGCAGCAACATGGATCTTTGAGGGGTCCTGAAATTCAAATTTGTAGTATTGAAGTGAGGAAGCTGAGTCTTAGTAACTTCTCACAGCCATACTGGTACCCTGTTGGGTGGAGGGGGCTTTTAACCCAGAGCTGGAAAAACCTAGAGGTGAGAGAGGCCATTCACTGAATTACAGATGCTGTTTAGCTTTAGGAGAGTGAGCTCTTTCTACAGAGAATGCTGACCCTGGATTAACCTCCCTAAATAGCTTGGTTCCTTCATCTCTGGAAGGTTTGAGGCATTTACCCTTAAATGGAGATTTCCTAACATGGTCCACTTTTTTAAGGGCTTGGTCCCTACCCAAAGCATGTGGTTTTTGTCTTTAAAAGTTTTGTGTTACTCTGCTCCAGGCTGCAGGAGTTTGAGACAGGAGTCCACCTGCAGACACACTCTCTCTAATAAAGATTCCCAATTCAACCTTTCAAAACGTGGCTTCTCTGTTTTCTTGCGACTGAGATTTTACCTTAAAACAGTATCATCTGGTTTTTTTCCCCCTGTCTATCAGTTTAGGGCATCTGGGCTGTTGCTGTAATGTAGCAACTATAATTAGTATAGCAAGAACACAGATGTGTAGGCTCTATTGTATCCTGTTTTTCAGGCTTTCAGATCAAAGTTCTTTGTTTCTTTAGCATCCAAGAAAGCATCCTGGTCATAATAAAAAATGGTGAGCATCACTGTGAACTTTGTTGCTGAGTTAAAGCTTGGGATGTACATGATCCTTCTTTTCTGTGGGTCTGCTCAAGGCAAAAGCTGTACATAGAGACAGGTATATAGAAACTTCTAAAGATCAGCTAGGGAAGTGGCGCTGTAGCTCAAGTGGTAGAGCGCTAGCCTTGAGTTGAAGAGCTGAGGGACAGCGCTCAGGCCTAGAGTTCAAGCCCCACGACCGACAAAACAAAAAACAAAAAACCAAAACCAAAACAACAACAACAACAAAAAAAGGTCAGCTAGGCGCTGGGGGCTCATGCCTGTAGTACTAGCTACTCAGGAGGCTGAGATCTGAGGATCGCAGTTCAAAGCTAGTCTGGCCAGGAAAGTATGTGAGACTCTTATCTCCAATAAACTATTAAGAAAAAGTCAAAATTGGCTCTGTGGCTCAAGTGAGAGAGCTAGCCTTAAGTACAAAGAGGCTCAGGGATAGCACATCTAAAATGTCATTACTGGAATCCAGTCCCAATTTGTGCCTTTGACAAATTTTCAAATATTCTGTCTATCATGTGCTCAATCAATAGCGACTGGGAACAGGTTTACCTGGAGCACTCCTGGTAATTGAAAGACCATGCCCTATAATCCCAGCTCAACTCAAAACTAGAAGCTGAATGGTTTTACTTGTAGGTAGAGATGGATGGATCTTAGGGATCGAGGCAGAAAA